CTCCTCCCAAGCCCATGTGACCCCTGAGGAGCAGATCCTCAAATGACCTTAAAAGCAAAAATAAATTAGTTTATCTGGGCCAAATGTATGGCCTTGAACACCCAAAAGGAAAGTATAACCGAAGATTAGAGGGGCCATTATAATTTTTTAAGAGTCCATATGCATAGCTAAAGGCTATATAACAAGCAACAATGCCAGATAGGAGATACCTTCTTTTGAGTTGTTGGCCAGGGTGGCCAAAAGGATTTCCAGATAGTAACCTAGCATAGAACTGGGAAAATGAACAGCAGACCTCAATCTTATCTAAAGGAATTTTGGCAACTGATGGTTGTTAGATGAGGAACAGCTGACCTTCCTAAAACAAAGACCTCTAGATAGGCTGACTAGATTCACCAGATGGAAAAGTAGTGGGGAATGGCTGGGGTGCCGACAACACAGCGGACGGTAGCAGAGATAACAGAGTATAAGGGCTCTAGATGGGGAGGGAGGGTATGGGAGGGTGCCACCTGGGAAGTGGATGTATAGTTGAATAAGATGGTTTGAGATGTTCTGTGTGATACACACACACAAACACACACACACACACACAAATACAAATCAACAAATTATAAAAAATGTATATTTGAGGAGGAAGCATTAAAATTTACGTCATATTAATTAGTAGAGGTGATAAACATTACCATTGCAATCTACGCGATGATTTTATAGACATACACAGGCGCCAAGGATCCAAGTGCAACCGATTATGGCTAATAATAATCAGATACATACAGATTAGAGATGCTTGCGCCAAACATCTCAGTAGCAAAAACAGTGAGTCTTTCTGTAAGAAACAGTATATTTTAAAATGAAATGGAGATCTTTTTTAAAGGTTAAAAATTCATTCAATTTTATGTTTTACAGGGCTTATACTGAGTTCAATATTGTATAACTGTATTAATTCAATTGTGAACCTAAAAATTTACCATCACTTTTGAAAGAGATGTATTCTTGCTCTGGAGTGTGTTACTGAATGTGTTAAAGCCATAACAAAATGCTTCTAATCATGTAGTTATTAAAAATGAAAAAATATTACTTCATGTCACTCATCTGGATGAGGTGCTTTTAGCGGTTCTGAAAAAATGCAGTTTCCACAGCAGCAACTGCTTTGTCTCCTAAGGGATTCCAAATAGTGCAGACTTTTATGAGCATCTGAGGTTTTGATAATGCAGTCTACCTACCACAGACTGATGGGGCACAACCACTTTTAATAATTCTTGACAGAAATGTGTCAATCTTTTATTACACTTTGCTTCTGCTGGCCGTAAGTTCCGAACGATCATTTCCTGGGCCACAAAGGTGTCACCTTGAAAGCATCTGATATCCAGTCAACACTCTTTAATGGAATAAGACACTTGATCTGAATGTGTGACTCTGGGGATCTAGTAAATAGGAATTCGTCTTCGTTTTCTAACACACAGAACCCCATCAACAGTGTTGCCTATGCACATTGCCCATTTGCACCCGCAGATTATGTTTGTCTGAGGTGAATTCAATTCTCACCGAAGTTTGCGGTCAGTATTTTAACACCTGAATTGCTTTATCAGTCCAGGGTTATATCCCATCGAAGTCCACCATACAGTCTTATTAACTAATCTGTCTTGGGATACCAGCTTAGTGCTTGGATTTATTTCCTGATTACACTACATGGAAAAGTGGGACATCTGTC